TATTTTCCTCAGGCTAGTTGTTTGGTATATTAATATTATTAAAATCATTAAAAGCGCTGGCTCATGGCGCTGGTTTTCTGCCAGAACCCTTTTAAAATGGATTAATTTAAACACAGAGTTTAAAATTATTTGGCATTGATTACAAACCAATCAGGGCCATAATTGCCAGAAATATTCCATATTTTGTGATACTTTAAGCTTATGTGGCTGACTGTACTTAGTACGGTTCGTTGACTGTGATCTAAACTATACTAAAACATAATGTTATTATATTTATGTTTCATTAATTTTGTATTCTTACGTTTAACAATGGAGAATGTCCAATTTAATGATATTTCAAAAATAATAAAAATTTATACTACATACTGTATTTTTATTTAAGTATTTTGCTGTAATTGGGGCATGCAAAACTGGTACCAGATATGGATCTCGCTTTTTGGTACTCCCGATATCCCTAAATTATTTAAAAATCCTTAAATCAGTACAAATGTGACGGCAAAACCCAAAAAATGTGTGAATTTTTATGTCCACTACAGAATATTTTTCTCAAGGTTCGAAGTGATAACTATAAACACAGACCACATAAAATTATAATGATAACTATCACGGTAATTATCTTACCGTGATAATAATTAGTCATGTCAAATGCTACAAATGTCAATCTAAAAAGTCACAAACCTGATCGTTTTCCCAAAGAATTTGAAAAATTAAAAAGACATAACTAAGAATCAGCGTGGATAATAAACGGATAATATATCGGATAATTATCATGATGATTATCAAATACGTGATACGTGATTGTAACAGTGTAATACAGAAAAGATTCAATCACTAACCCGGTATATTATATAATTGAAAAGTGCATGAAAATATACTTTAAATGAGTTAGCTTCCACATTTCACAAAAATTCATACACGAATTGTGTTCTACCTTGAACGCTTCGATATTGTGTAATATAAATTCATATTACCTAATATTTTTTGCAACTGTACATATAGGCTTACATTGGTCCACAATATCAATATCTATAAATGTGGATTGGTAATACAAAAATGGTACACGCTGGCCTCGCGCATGCCTGTTCATTCCAAAACAAGGAGTTAAAAGCTATAGCTCTGCTGTGAAGATAATGAAGTTTATTGGGGTATTCTTCTTCTTTTAAATGTTATGGCCCCATCAAGTAATCGATAATTTCACCAATGTCTTTTCTGAATTTCGACAGAATTTACTGAGAGGAGAATGTACAAATCTACAACGACAGAGAACCTACACAGCCATGGTTTAAAGAAATAAAAACCGCGAAAGACACGGAAGCGGATATTATAATCACGTGTGTGTGCGTAAGTGTAGTGTCATACATAGTCCAATAGAATTACAGTAACATTCCATTTTACAAAAGATGAAACTTAGTCAAACAGTTTTTAATTTAAGCTAACATGTTTGACATGTGTCTGCTAAAATTAAATACCCGCTTCCATCCTCTACACACATTGAGGAAGTTTTTTGTGGTGTCACGTCTTTTTTCTTTCTGCTTAAAAACCCATTTTTGTATTTTTTTTAAGGCTGTGCGAATATCTGCGTGAAAAGGAGTATGTTAATGTCATTTCGAATCTGTCCTGTAATTGTGACAGTTCATTCAATCGTGTGATGTATGCCATAATCACCGCCTACATAAAAAGTAATTATTTTTATCTTTAATATGGCACAAGATCGTTAATGACTACCACGGGACATAGTCAAAAAGTGTCAGAACACGCCAAAGTACAAACAAGATAAGGTTCTTCACATAATTCTTATTAAAAGGTCAATCAACTTTTCAGTTTTTGTGCGATCGAGATGTAAGTATAATTTGTTTATTGGAAAACTTTTGTATTTAGTTACTTTCAACGAGCTTTGAAAATCAAAACCATGCTTTCAATTTCCAATACACAACCAACTGTGAATCGGGTCTATTTAAAAGATTATGTTTAATATAATCCCAAATTGATATTGCAGACAAACCGGAAGCTCATTACCTCACCTAACATAATCCTTAAAAGCTAAGTGTCAGAAGTTATAATACAGGCTGTTCCCTAAGGACATGCTAGAATTTTAATGAGTATTTCTTTAATGAATACATTATTTGATGGCTCTTATAAAAAATAATAATCACCTGTATAAACATTCAATAGCAAGCAGCTGATTTTGTCTTCGATGTAAAATGATTAAGTTTTCTTGGAAAAAAAACTCTTTATTTTCAGCTAGATTACCTTATTATTCTCATTAGCCTGTTACACATTCTAAAGACAGATGACCCTAATGATTTTGGTGTTGTGGTGTCCTAAGGCTCAATTTATATTGCGGCGGAACGGAGTGGAAGCTAATTTTAATAACATAGCATAATGTACTTTATTGTCAATTGTGTAACTTACAAACTAGACAGAAGCCGAAATCTTCTGCGGAATAATGCTATGTTACAAAAATTCACTTCCACTCCGTTCTGCCACAATATAAATAAGTTTAAGAGCCACATGGTATCTCTAACGCGCATCTGTTTTCAGCCACCCTTAAAAAAAAAGTAAATAAGTTTAAATTTTTATTGAATTGATATTCAATTACCTCTTTTTTATGTGAAATGACTCTACTAGTTTGTAATTATTAATACTCAGAATAACTTCCTTCGATCTAGCCAACCAAATACAATTACATGACAACAAACACAGAAAAATTTGTGAGGTCTGCTGGTTCGTTAGTTGGTAGTGCGTCTGCCACGGTATGCTAAAAGATATTGGTTCAAATCCAGCCGGATAGAAGAAATTTTTTTTGAGTGTTTGATCGTTGTCTTAATAATTATAAAAAATCAAATAAGTATTTCTACCAAAATCGTTAGGGACACTGTGTCTCCAAGACATGTGATGGGTCGACTTATGGACTGCTAAACATACTTATTGAGCCAAAATCAGTGACCAATACAAGTGGTCTTCAATATGATAAGAACAAGTTTGCACCACAAAATTAAAATCATACTGATGGTGCCAACATTCATAATATTTCAACATCACATGTAAAATTTTGTTCTAACATTTGTTTTAAATATTAAGGAAGTGTTACATATAATTGCATTCACCACCTGTTAAGCGTCGGTCTCCTTCAGTTAGAAGGTTTTGGCTGTAGTCTGCTACACAATCCCAACACGTGATAGGGACTTCATATGTTTTCCAATATTTTTCAAGAAAGAAAGAAACATTTATGCAACAATTCACAAATAATATTACAAATGTTACAAATCGACTCATCCATAGAACAAAGATCCATGTGCAAGACTACTTGTTCTCAGGACAAAGTACATTTCGTTCGTTCTTCTTCGCTGTGGATGTCAGATCGACTGTTGTTCGATTTTATATTTCCCAAACGAAATAATATATAAAAATTCTCAAAACATCTTTACACAAACCTTAGTTTGAATAACGAAATTATGTATTTATCCTCTTTTCACTGTATAATCACATCATACTTTGTTCTTCGGATGAGTCGAAATAGTATCAGTTAAAAACAAAAGAAGGTAATAAATTAAAAAACTAAAATACACAATAATAGCTATTTCAGCTGGTTTTCACCTGGAGCCTTAAGGAGGTAGATGGTTTTATATACTTAACATTTATAAGTTATGTATTTAAAACCAAAAGTAAAATAAAGTTACAAGACGACAAAACCTAATTAAAGAAAAAGAATATAATTATACTTTAATTTAAACTTTCACACATTGTTTGATTTTTAATTCGGGACCTAATCACGTATAAAACATATTTTAATTACCTCGACGTTTCGGGCATATTGCCAACGTCCATGGTCTCGAAGGGACTGAAAAGGCGGGTGTCAGCATGTTCTAGCCGTGCGAGTTTTTCTAACTACCCGCACTTGATCTTCATTATTTATTTGTGCACTAGGGTTCTCACTAGACCGACACACAACACTATATAAATAGCAGCAATAGCCGAGCATTTGCTGGAATCAGGTCCAAACCACTGGATTGAGCTTCATAATCCCAAGATCCTTTCTACAGAACGTCATCAATATAGTAGAATCGTACGTGAAGCTATTGAAATTAAAAAACACCGTAATTTCAACCAAAAAAGAAGGTTTTAAGCTTTCATCGTCATGGGATCCAGTTATCAGCAAATGTAAACGACATCAAGTATCGCCCGACAAGTCGCCGTATGTCGTGATTGTCATGTGTCGGTCTAGTGAGAACCCTAACCCCTAACCCCTGCACAAATAAATACTGCCCTCGTAACGAAAAAAGGCACGACTATGCGTACTTTACACAGCAGTTGTGCCTTCTTTCATTCCGAGAGCAGAATATTGAAGATCAGCTGCTGGTAGTTAGAAAAACTCGCACGGCTAGAAGATGCTGACACCCGCCATTAAAGTCCCTTCGAGACCATGGATGTTGCAAAATGTCCGAAACGTCGAGGTAATTAAAATATGTTTTATACGTGATTATGTGCCGAATTAAAAATCAAATAATATAATTATAATTACAAATGAACCTAAGTAACTGCATTGTGCTCTTATATGAAGCTATACATTACAATATAAAAAATAAAAAATGATCATAATAATGTCTGAGTAATAATTCTAATAACTAATAAACATTTTTTTTTTTTTAATGAGATGGAAGCTGACGCTGTTTATCTGTCGCATCAACGTTATGTCCTTAATTTTTTTTACACAAGCCATACAGAACCTTTAGTGTGCATGTTTCAACACAATGTTTTCCTTCACTATTAGTCAATTATTTTGCTACTTCACAAATATACGTAATTTAGATTTGAAAATCATAGCTAAATGCACCACAAGGATTTAACCGTCAACCTCCCAATTGTGAAACAACTATCCTCCACTAAGTTACTACCGTCATGTTATGGCTGCTACTAGCTAGCTACACATTAATACCTTTTGTTTTTTAATGTTTCACTAACTATTAATTGTAATTCCACCAATCATTACTTGTTCCTAGGTGGAAGCTAATCTTCGTATGTCTAGTTTTAATAGAAACTGCATATCTATCAGAAGTCACATACTATGAGATATTAGGAGTGACAAAGCATGCGACTGCCCAGGAAATTAGACAGGCTTATAAAAAATTGGCTATCAAACTTCATCCTGATAAAAATCCTGTAAGTAATAATTTTTGTAGTAAATTAATTCACTTGAAGTAAGCAATACGTGTTTTTTTTGTATCTAAAACCATAAGCAACACATTTGTAAAATATTTCTCGTTAAAAACCTGTATTGCCATCCGTAACTGATGTAATCGACATTTTTAGCGAAAACGAGATCTACAACCCCCTATAATCGGTTTTTTTTATAACTTATTTAGTTTCAGTTTTATTGTGATTTTTATATTATGTATTTTGAATATTGTGGCACCTCGATTTTGAACATTTTAATGTACACGAACGAACGTGGGGCGCACTATAAGTTTCCGGATTGAATAAGGAAAAAATACTATAAATGGTCAGAAATTAATTTATTGTTTCTCAAAATATTAACGTTAGTATGAAAAAGTGCACTAATGTGCACTTTTTCATACGAATAAACCAATTTTGAAAACATTTATGCCACTCCTCCGTGGCAATCTCTGAAACATATTTTTCATACTCTTCGACAGCCTCTTCAGGTGATGAAAATCGTTGACCGCGTAACTGGTTCTTAATTTTTGGAAATAAATAAAAGTCACTATGTGCCAGGTCGGGACTGTACACGGGATGACTCATAAGGTCAACGTAGTTCACCTTCAAAAATTCATTTGTCTGTCTGACCGTGTGAGAACTGGCATTATCGTGGTGCAAGATGATACGGCATTTACGGTTATTTTTACGGAGTTTGTCAATAACTTCCGGCAAACAAATGATCGTGTACCAATCACTATTCACGGTATAACGATTCTTTAAAGCAACAGTAGCCACGTATCCAGTTTTATTACAAAAAGAAGCAATCATCCGCTTAGAGGCACTTTGCACGCGCGCCACTTTGCTTGGTTTCGGCTCATCTCGAAAGACCCATACGCTCGATTGCTGCTTTGCTTTGGGATCGTAACTATAAATCTATGTTTCGTCACCTGTTACGAATCGGCGACCATCACGAAATTGGTCACTGAGTTTTACACGACCGCGTTTGGATTCTGTAAACCAGCTATAAATAGTCGTCTTGCATGGTGCTTCATCGCCAAAAGCAGTTTGAAGCCGAGCCACACCCCGGACACTCCATACATCGGTCGAAAGTTAGTTACCTACTACTACTACATACAGCAAGGCGCTATCTGCAAACACGCAAATGTGTGCGTGAAGTGGCAGGGTTACCCATCACTTCTCGCACTATAACGTTACGTGGTCATAGCGGCAACAAATTCTAACGCGAATTTGTTATTACACATGTTCATTAGGTATTTATACTTTATTATTATATTTATTATTTATTAGAAATAATACTATATTTTTCATTAATTTACTAACTAGAATAATATTGAAGATTTGTTTAAGAAATATATTAAAAGCCCTTTAAATGTTATATTTTGGACAGGTACTTTTAAATAAAGTAACCAAGGTATTTGAAATTGCTTATCCAAGTTTATCATTACCTAGTTAATAATTAGATATATCACGACGTAATATTTATCGGCAATACAAATTGAAAATTCGAGAACCCTTGTGTACTAGCTCACAAAATTACGGCGTCTCATTATATTAATATAATAAATCTGTATTATGTATTACTCTGCACTAAATAAATGAAGAAAACAATAACTGAATGAGTCTCAGACAAGCTTTTTTCTCGTCTTTCGGAAAACGAAAAAAGTCCTCTCTTTAGCTCGTTTAAGATGATGACAAACAGCTGTATCCGCTTAATTCACAACCATTATAAATAATAACGTAAAATGATGTTATATATTAACGTACGTGTTTCGTAATGAATAAATGAAAACTATATTCAAATATAGGAAATGAAACTATTTTTCCGGATTTAAATCGCGTATATTTGTTTTTTCAAACAAACCGACGTTTCGGTTTCTCAGTTCCTGAGACCCGTGAAATGTAACATCCCCTTACAGGATGCAGGAGTTTACAAGCTTGACTGTGAGTGCGGTCTCTCTTATATTGGACAAACAAAGCGAAGTATTTGTACCCGCGTCAAAGAACATATAGCTGATGTCAAACACCGTCGCGTAAACAAGTCTGCAGTCTGCGAGCATGTCATGGATAAACCTACACATTCAATGAAGTTTGACAAACCCCAGGTCCTTGCAAAAGAAGTCCGTTATCTACCCAGGATGCTGCGAGAGGCCATTGAAATTAAAAAACATCCTAATTTCAACAGGGAAGATGGTTTCTCCGTACCACCAGTTTGGGATCCAGTATTTCCTCTAATGAAAAATCCCAAACAGACATAAGACTGCAGTACTAATTAATATGTTTTAGTTTATTCTAATTTCTATTAATAATTAATAATAAATTAAACCTAATAAAAATTCATTCAATAAAATAATTTGTAAAACTTAATGTAGCGTAAATTGGAATGTTTTCTTTGTAAAATTAAAAATAAGGTATTTAATTAATAACTATTGTAACTATAGTGAAAAAATAGGGTGGTTTGCATTAATATTAGACATAACTGGTTGAAGACTGTACCACCTCAGTCAACCGTGACCATGGGACCTGTAAACGGCCCGAAAAGTCGGAAAAATAGTTTCATTTCCTATGTGTAACAATCGCGAAAACCTAAGAACTCGATATATTCAAATAATCAAAGCCGTCTTAGCGCGAAAACGGCTCGCCGACAGTCTTATTGTCGTTCAGTCAATGTGACCGTCAATGTGCGGGGCGTGGTCGCAGTGTCCGTTCTCGTTACTTTTTGTTCTCTGGCCGAGCGAAGCTCCGCTGAGCTGTTACTTTACACTTAATGTCGTAGAAAATCAAACTACGAAAATTTTCACGAGTTAAATCCATGGTGATGTAGACAACCAATTTCTAAAGTGATACCACAATGTAAAAACAAGTGACAGTCAGATGAAACAAACTGTATTCTACAGCCGAAGAGGTCAATTTTCAAATGTTGTAATTACTTTTTAAATATTGTTTATGTAAGTGGCCAGTTCCGGAAACTTATAGTGCGCCCTATGTATTCACCATACACTCAGCTGAAACTAATATAGTATAAGGTTGCATAATAACAAACTATGGACCTATGCTGTCTGAAAATAAAAGATTTTTATTTTACTTTTTTTATTTTATTTTTATAAGCAAAATCAGCGTAGTTGTCATTTTTACTAGCAAAAAAAAATTGTACAGGTGCGTTGCAAATGCGTTAGTTATGATTGAATTTTGAACCATTTTTTAACTGACTTCACAAAAAGGAGGAGGTTCTCAATTCGAGTGTACTAACTTTTTTTTGTATGTATGTTACCTGATAACTGGCACTTTAACCAATTTTGATGATTCTTTTTTTGTTGGAAACGTATGCTATGGGTATATAATGGGACCAACACCTACTGAGGTACTCACCTCAGTATTAATCCCATTTAAATTTGAAGAAAATAATCTCCCCTCTAAGGATAGCAAACTAGGGTTAGGGATGAATCCGGTTTCGCGCACTTTCCGGTAACCGAGTTCAATAAAACTTGGCAAATAGATGTGAGATTATTTACAATTACGAATGTGACAGTTCATTCTTCACTTTCATTATATTTTTTCAGGATGCAACAGAGCAAGAAAAATTTTTAAAACTCACAGAAGCCTACGAAACACTTAAGGATCCTGACAAGAGACATTATTATGATGCGTATGGCAGCTACCCATCATACACTAGGAAGTATAACTACCAAACTCAAGCAGAATATAATAATATATATTATAATGGATTGTATCATAACGACCCTTTTGTGGACACATTGAGCGGACAAAATTTTTGTGAGTATTAAATGTTTTTGTTGCATTTAAAAAACTATCAAGGTATGATACTTGGTACTTGGTGCAACGTACTGGTGTCCGCAATTCGACGGCAAAGCGGTTATTTTGATTGTGGTTGGGGCAGGGTCCTACTCGTGCCACCCAAGCTCCTCCAAGAATCTCAGTAACCTCCTCTGTTTGCTGAAGATTTCGGGGAACGACCACGGCACTTCAAGGTACTTCACCCCGTAGTTGGCCACGCCGGAGCACTGTAGTAGGATGTGCGCGGCCGTTTCCTCCCCCTCCATGCACGCTCTGCATAGAGGGCTGTCTGTGATGCCTAAATTAAAAATGTGTTTATTGTATAGACCATGACCTGTTAGAGTGCGAAGCTCTTGCCTTTTTAAGTTTGATTAATTTTCGAGAAAGACGCGTTGAGCGTCGGGAGTGCTTCCCTCGCCTGTCTACAAACCGTAAGGGTTGTCCATGTGTTATTATGAGAACATTTTATACCTTTGTGTATAGTTGTTCTTGACCATTAGTAGGGGAGGGACGCGAGCCGGTGTGTTCTTAAATCCACTTTAAAGTTACGTGGTTGTGTAGACATACCTCCATGTGTGTTTGATGGCATTCGTAAATGAGCCCTGAGTTTATGTCATAGCTGTTCAGTGCTTGAAGTACTGATATGCTGTCGGAGAGTATTCGAATGGAGTGATTCTTTTGTCTTGTCGCTTGATTGCTTCTGCTGCCAACTTGATACACATACATTCAGCCTGGAATGCTGTGTTGTGGTCACCAAGCGGTATTGATATCCTGATATTGAGATCTTCTGAGAATACCCCAGTACCTGTTCCTAAATTTGTTTTTGATCCATCAGTGAAGAATCATCATCTAGTATTATATGATAAGGGATTTATTTATTTCCATGTTGCACTTATACATTAAAATTAAAGCCGTAAATATTTTGAATGGCATATCTATGGTTCGTAACTGTTAATTAGGTGAAAAATTGGAATTCATATTACAGTTACAAGCTTACAAGTTCCGGTTAATTACCTTATCGTCGCATTAAATTAAAAACCTCGCAGTTTTACATAGTTTGTTTTTAATGAAGCAGAACTTATAAACCTCTTGATTAAATATGTAATTAAAGTAATACTAGTATATCACCTAAGCGAGATATAATTCATAATAATATAATTAAAATGTTAACTACAAATATTATTGTGTTTATTACGCCATATTTTTATCTTCATCCTGAAAAATTTAATGAAAATCACAAATGAGGTTTTCAGTTTTCTTTAACACTATGTTATGTGATTTACAGTTAACAGTACATCCAGCTATACACTTTTGTTCCAATATCGCCTCCAGCGCAACAGAATAAAATCGTCAATGTAGCTTAATTTGCATCCATCTGTACACTGTTAAATTTGTGTAATTATTTTTTTGGCCTTGTGAACTTGCAATCAGTCCTCTAGACTATAGTGAAATGAGTTGGGAGATATAGGATATTCCAGAAAGTTAGGACCATTGCCCTATCTCCCCTTAATTACACAGTGTATCGCAGGAACTGACATCACAAGCCCGACATTGACATCCGGTGTTACAGGCTTTATTAAAAACAACATAAAACAGCGTATCGGCTCTTTTGAGCATCTTAATTGAGTTTGGCAACAACCGTTGTGGGGCAATGGGTTAGGAAGAGCACCTATACTCTACCAAATTCAATATATAATTCTTAATCATAAAAGTTAATAAGCCAGCAATGAAGGCATAGGAAAAGAACGTTTTTGTCAATACTCGGACTTTAGGCTAGCTCTGCTCACGACCTGCTCGCGTAATTGAAATAGGTAACGAGTATGTAAGTAATTGTCTTATGTAGAAGTATAACCAGGCCAATTATTATAAAGTTTTCAAAGTACCTATTGATACGTATGATTTATGAACAACATAGTTAAGTTTTTGATAATTTTTAATACTTACTGATAAATAGTAGACAATGGTAGATGAAACGAAATTGTAAAATTTTATTTTATATTAATTTACTACATATCTTCACTAGAATAATTAGAAATGTTTCCAATAGCTCCCTTCAAATAAAAAAAGTCATTAGGGATGATACAGTTTTATAAGTCATTATTATTATTTATTGGGAATTTTTAAATTGGTTTCAAATAACTTACTAGTGATTTGAAACTTATATCGAAATCAATTCAACACAGACATGACTCAAGATTAGTATTATCCAAAGCCTAAACGAAATTCAGGGAAAAATATTTAGATTATGGTAACCATAAAACAGTCTGTATATCAATCATATGTTTTTGTTTGTTGACATTTAATCGACATTGAATTTGGCTAGTATAGTTGATATGTGTAGTAAAATTAACGTTTAGCTTCTTAGATAACCATTGGCGTTTCCAGATAGTTCTTGTAATTAGAACTTGACCAAACTATTGAAGATCTTAGTTGCCAAACGGTTTTTCACTGTGGATGCTGGATGAGGAACTCCCAAGTTCAATTCCCGGAATTACCAATTTGGGAAATGCACTTTTTTAAATTGGTTCTGATCTGGGTGTTTTGGGTGGTGCCCTAGAATTAATTTTGTTGCTCATAAAACAGTTTATTCATTAGTTTGACACCAGGTAATTAAGTGTGCTTGTCTGAGACATTATTATTATTGATATTATTGTTGGCAACATTAGTATAAATTTTATAAGTTTATGTGGGCTACTTGCCTTCGTTCTTCTGTTGTGTTAAATAAATTCAATATAAATTAAATGTTGAGTTTTTCACTTTCAAACCATACGACAAATTGATTAATCAACAAATATTAATAACAATAATAGCGGCGTGTCGCTTCTAGCACATATGCAAAAGGCCGTCCTGCTCGCCGGTTCTTGAACCTGAGTCCTTGACCCCGGTCGGCTGAGCCGGAAATTACTCTCCCATTTAAAAATTCAAAATTAATCTTTTAAGCCATGTGAGAGGCGAGAGTCTAAAATAGATATCCAAAATAATAATAATTTACTAGATCTCGGTCCGTAAATGTATGTTAAAACCAGCCATCACGCTGAGAAAAAGAAAGCCAAACCAGATAATAATAATCTGTTTAATTGTCTGTTTAAGTGTAAAGAAATTACTCTCGAAAGATTTTGGTTGCATACCACAGAAAAATAAATACGTCATTATTTTGTAAAAAAAAGATTATTTTACTTTAGAGTTACAAAATTCTCAAATGACGTGTTTGTTATTGCTTTTGCAACGGTATTGACTAGACAAGTACAGGATTATGTTTTAGTGGATTCTATAGTGACGGTTACATATTATTTGCAGATGATTATTTACAAGAAGGCTTCCACTTCATAAATTTCTATTCTCCATTTTGTCCACCATGTCAAAATGTAGCGGATCATTGGAAGAAAGTTGCAGAAGTCTACAAGGGAATTGTAAGTTTTTGCACATATATACACGCTAACACACACACGCACATGCACACGCACGCATGCGCGCACACGCACACACACACACACACACACACACACACACACACACACACACACACAC